TGATGTTGCTAAGGGAGGAGTTAGTTAAGTGACTTTTTACTCCCGTTTTACTATTTCTCTGGCCACGTTTGGTTAAGGGGATTGCTGCAGTGGATAACTTAGTAATTCGGCTTTTAAGTGAATCCGGCTTCCCCGTCTGACTTCGCTTGTCAGAAGGTGGCCAAAGGGGATCACGTGGCCCCTGGGACACTGAAACCGTCACAAATGTGAATCAGTTGACAGGCATCTGATGGTAAATCACGTGGGCGTGGGGATGCTGCAGAGGTTGTACTGGTATGTCTGAAAAAAGAGTCACAAGCAGAGGTGTATTCAGCCGGTTCTGACTGGTTCTGGAGACCCGGTAGCGGAAATTTTGAGTAGTTCAGAGAACTGGCAAATATCGCCTCTAACTGGCCCCGCCCCCATCTCTTCTCTGCCTCCCATTGAGTCCCAGCTGATTGGCTGGGTCTTCTTTGGTTGCCCTGCACAGGAGAACAGAGCTGGAAAGCAGGTTAGTGGGGTGGGGAGAGAATGGAAATTTTGCAGTATATCCTTCCCCTGCCACGCCCACCAAGCCACACCCTGCCTTCCAAGCCATGCCCGCAGAACTGGCAGTAAAAAAAAATTGAATCCTACTACTGGTTATAACTCACTTTTTCTCAGTGCCATGGTAACTTTGAAGTGAATTGTTATAAGTAGAGGATTACCTGCACTTTTAAGAAAGAATCCCTTGTCAGAGTGGTCATCTAGTGACCTAAGCAGAAGAGGCAAAGTTGACTTCATGGGTAGGACTGACATTCTTTGGGTCTTGTTCAATGTGTAGGGCTTGGCTGCTAGTGTTCATATCACTCCCTTCCTTGATCTCACAGGGTAATTATGGGTCAGTATGGAAGAAAGGTGTGGACTGAGAGCTCAGCTTTGGGATCCTACCTGCTTAATATTTGACTTTGTTCACCCTTGAAGCATGGATCTCCAATCCTGAAATCCAGAAGGATTTGTACTATGTGCCATCCAATCAGTTGACCGTGTCAGTAAATTTTCTTCAAAAGGATATGTCCCTAACTTGGTCCTTCAAGACTTCTAATGGTGCATCCCTCATCACTGTAACTAAGTCCAACCACGTCTATGGAGATTCTCAGTCATCCAGGTCATGGTTGTCCCAAAGGTGCTTTTTCAAGAGGCAGTTGGACTTTCTGGTTTTTCTTTGAAGACGTTTCACTTTTCATCTGAGAAGCTTCTTTCAGCTCTGACTGGATGATGGGGAATGGAAGGGTTTATACTCCTTGCAAACTGCTGGTCATTTGCATCCTTTTGGAGGGTCGTTGAGGCCACTTGGAGGTTTATCTGTGTCCTCAGGGTCACCTGAGTAATCCAAATGGATGTGGAGCCATACAACAGTCCTTTCAGCAGTTCCAAGAAGGCTCCACACCCTTTTGTACCACTCAGGTGACCCTGAGGACACAAACCTCCAGGTGGCCTCAACGACCCTCTAAAAGGATGCAAACGACCAGCTGTCTGCAAGGAATATAAATCCTTCCATTCCCCACCATCCATTCAGAGCTGAAGAAGCTTCTTGGAGAAGAAGCAAAATGTCTTCAAGGAAAAACCAGAAAGTCCATCTGCCTCCTGAAAAAAGCACCTTTGGGGCAACCATGACCTGGAATGACTGAAAATCTCCGTAGAGATTCAGAACTTTCTTCAACTCTTGGCTGGCCTCTAGTGGTTTGCTGGACAATTGTAGCCCAGATATAGTAGCCTTGGCAAGAGAGCTTAGAGTTGACAGAACCAAGCTCTATAAATAATGTAGACTTCATAGAGCAGGTGGCAGACAGTCCTTTGACAATCGCAGCCAAGAACTGAGACTGCGAGGACGTTCAGAAAATAGAAGTTGGTTTGCAGGGAGTGTAAATAAAATGTTCAGAGCTTCCACTGAAATAGAATTGCAAGGGTCAACCTAAATCAGGAAGCAGAAGTTAAGACTGGATCTCGCTACGTTGACTTTTTGGCGAATACTGCTCTTCAAGGATGTATTCATGCTGACCAGGAGGATACTTCTTGGGTTATCTCAGGGACTTCCTTGCCCTGGTTTTTTTCCCCCCCTGACCATTCTGGCTCAGCTTAAGGTCATGTTCTGACATCAGAAGATTTAAAGAACTTCTCCAGGGGTGAGACGTTGCTGGTATAACAACCGGTTCGGTGATCCTGCGCACACGTGAACAGCAGTGCAGAAATCCTTACCTGCTATGTTACTTCGGGGGAGCAACACAGCTGGGGAACGGCAATTCTTCTGCAATGATCAGCTAGGACGATAAAAGTCAGTACAGTGCAGTATTGTGTGGGTGGGCCCACATAATCGTCGGAGCGAACCAGTTCACTCCCAGCTGATCTTTGGAGCTAGGGATTTGCCAGAACCAGTCCCAACCGGCCAGAATCCCACCCCTGGTCTTCTCTACTTTGAAATATGCTACCCTCTTACAGTACCTCTGGGTTCCTAAAAGTTACCTCCAAACCTTCCTTTGTAGATGAGATTCCCTTAATGACCACCCTGATTAGCCATGCAAATTCTGGTCCCCCTTGTGGTCGTACATCAAGGACTATGTCTAAATGTACCTTCAGGCCGACGGTACTTTGAGGGGAATGGAGATGCCTTTTGGGAAAACGACTCAACTAATCTTCACTTGGTAAAGGTAAAAAAAGGTTCCCCTTGCACATACGTGCTAGTCACTTCTGGCTCTAGCGGGCGGTGCTCATCTCCGTCACAAAGTCGAAGAGCCAGCACTATCCGAAGACATCTCCATGGTCATGTGGCCGGCAGAACCAAATGCCGAAGGCACACAGAACGCTGTTGCCTTCCCACCAAAGGGGTCCCTATTTTACTACTTGCATTTTTTACACGCTTTCGAACTGCTAGGTTGGCAGAAACTGGGGACGAGTAACGGGCGCTCACTCCATTATGTGGAGCTAGGATTCGAACTGCCAAACTGCCGACCTTTCTGATCGACAAGCTCAGCGTCTTAGCCACTGAGTCACCACATCCCCTCGATCTTCTCTTGATCTTTCCCCAAAGCCGACTCTTCCATGATTCTTCCAGGAGGCTGGGAAATTTCTGAAATCTGTCTATTTCACGGGAGGTGGACTGCCTGGTCCTTTCCTGTGTGAAGACCCCCGCCACCTCTCTTTCCTTGCTGGCTCCTGAGATCTAAGATGATTTTCTCAGAATTGGCTGCTTCTGGAAAGCATTTTGGCTTCGTCAAAAGCTCCAAACAACTCCGGTGGCAGCCACCAAGCTTCAGAATCCTCCAATTTGGTGAGATGTCAAGAGACGACCGCAATGCTGCCAGAAAGGCCATTAGAGAAGAGCTCTGGCCTTCAATTCCCAGAGAGGCCTAAATGAGCCTGAACAGGTCAAGCTGGAAATATTCAGCTAATGAAGACGGGGGAATCGTACTTTCTTCCATCTCTGATTGCTTGCAATGCTCCTGGTTTTCCTCCACACAATAAATGGCTTGGCAGGCACAGAGTGGCCGTCCAAAAGAGAGAAGAAAAAAAAAAACCAGGGATGGGCTGCTGGGGGTTCACAGATGTTCGGGAGAGCCCCCTAATTAAGATTCTGTGCAGTTTGAAGAACCCCCAAATCCTACTCATGGCTGGCCCCTCCCACCCCTCCCTTCCCCTCCCAAGGAGTCCCCACACGGCCCATTTTGGATGCAGGTAAGTGCAGGGTGTGCGCGGAGGCTCAGGGAGGGTGAAAAACGGGCCTCCCGGAAGTTTGGGAAGGCCGGAAATGGGCCCGTTTCCAGCTTCCAGAAAGCCTCCGGAGTCCGCAGAAGCCATTTTCACCCTCCCGGAGGCTCGATGAAAACCCCTGGAGCCCGGGGAGCCCCAAAACCCCTCCTGGTTGTGGTGCAGGAGGCCAGCTAGGCCACACCCACCATGGCCACGCCCACCCAGCAATGAGACAGAGAACCCGTCGCTAAAAATGTTTGAAGCCCCAGCCCTGGAACCAACCCATCAGGCTATTAGCCCTTGACAGACCCGGGTGCTTCTTCTCAAACTAGAGAAAAAGAACTAGAACGTCCCAGATAAATCACAGTCTCCTAGGGGCATATGGAGGAGGAAAAAGCAAGGCACTCTGGATACGGGTTGAAGAGGCTCTCTTATTATTTATCAATCAACCCATCAGAAAAGGATAAGAAGCTCTCAAGACGTTCTTCAGTCAAGACTGTTGAAAGCTCCAGAGCCCAAGTGTGGCGCACGCTCTTCAGCCCAGAGTAAATAGCAATAAGTGACAGTTAATGGGGGTCCTTCAGCTGCTTGAGGCTCAACACTTGGATCTCTGTGAGGAGAGGGATACTCAAAGAACACCTGAGACGAACTACTCCATCTTCTTTCGGAAGCCATGGCATGGCCTAAGCCTCATGGGGAGCCACCTCACTTCACAGCCCCAAGGAAGGAGCAGCTCAAGATCTATTTTTGAGCAGAACCTTCAGCTCTCCATCCTCTTATAGAATAACAGAGAAGACACCTTGGAGGTCATTTAGTCCAACCCCCTGCTCGAGCGGGAGAGAGCCTATTCCAAATATTAGCCTCTGACTAGGATCGAACTCACAGCCTCCTGATTGCGAGGCTGAGAACTCCACCTCTGGGCCACTGGAGCTGATCAAGAGAAAGGCCTTCCTGTTTACACCTAGGTGTTCCTTGAACCCTTATCGGGGCCCTGTTGGACACAAATGGGATGACAAGAAGGAAGGATGCCCTTTGGAGGAGAAGACCAAGAGGTCACCAAAATAAGTCAATAGCGAGAAAAAGATAAGGACACCTTTCTATTTCCTGGGCAGGGGAAAACTAAGACCAACCAAGTATGACTTTTTAGAGGGAGGCAAACATTATTAACATTTTCACCTGGATTTGCCTTCCCACAAATTATATGTCAGTCCTGAAGCAAACCTGGCTGAGACCATCTAAGAGGGCCAGAGGTTGATACAGATTGATTTTAACCACTCGTCAGGGCAAACACCTACCTTAATCACGTCTTCATCTGAAGACCTGCACTCCACGGACTCTACAAGATCCGTCACGGTTCCATCTTCTTCCACCGAGACCACTTTAACGGGGACAGCCACCGTCTTCCCAGTAAGGATGGCGGTGTTTAAGATCTCAGCTTCCTGAAAGACAAAATGTTATCAATGGAAAGTTGACCCTCAACCTTTCTATACGTCACCAAGGTGGGCAACCTGTAGCCCCCCCCATCTTCATGAGGACTTGGAGTGCCCTACTGGTTGTCTTCAAAGTCCCCTCTTATCATAAAAATATCTTATCATTAAAAAAACTGAGACTTCTCAGGAAACTACAACTGAATGAAAAACTACTGGTGACTTTCTACCACTGCACCATAGAGAGTATTTTAACTTACTGCACCTGTGTAGGGTTTGCCAATTGCACAGTGGCAGATAGGAAAGCACTCCAGAGGGTTAACATCATTGCCCAGAGGATCATGGGTTGCCCTCTCCCCTCTTTGGAAGAGCTTTATAGCTCCCGCTGCCTTAAGAAAGTTCAAAATGTTCTCAAAGATCCATCTCATCCTGGGCACCCCTTTTTTTTGAACTATTACCATCTGGCAGACGGTACAGGACAATAAAACAAGGATAGATAGGCTGAAAAACAGCTTCTATCCCAGAGCAGTAACTACTGAATTCTACTGTACGGTGCAATATTAGGCAATATCAGGGATTTTCAATACAATGTACAGAATGTGAAGGATGTGTGTTTGCATTTATTTTCATCGTCATAATGTACACCGAAGATGGTATTTAATTTCGTTGTACAAGGTGCAATTACAATAAGGTAAACTAAACTAACTAAAACTGACACCAGGGTTTCCCATAATTGGGGTTGGAAATGCAGCTTGAAACATATGGTGTAAAAACAGATACACACACTTCCCTTCCCCTAGTGTGTACACATACAAACAAAGAAAACTTCCCAACCTCCCAAACCAGAACTCCATACCATTTGCTTTGTAACTTCCAAGAGCTATAACCATGAGTCACAATGACTAGAGTTACACACACACACACACTAATCTTGTGGGATAGACAGGAAGATTGTGGTTTGTGGCTTTCACCTGGGCTGCTGATTGTGTGTTTATTGCAATGTTGTGTCTTTAGCTGTTGTCAGAGACCCAGAGTCATGATGATGAGATGGGCAGCCGTAGAGATAGAAATAAAGCTGTTATAAAACAAACCAGGTTACGCTATGTGTGAACACCGTGGTTGTTTTAATCTTCATATATTTGTGCCCTATCGGTTGCTTTAAAAACCGACAAATTCAAAACCTTGCTGAATGTTTCTGCAACATGTTTCACGGACCTCGTAAAGATGGCTGAGGATTTGTTCTGATCATTGGTGGGATTCAAATAATGTAACAACCGGTTCTCTGCCCTAATGATTTCTTCCAATGACCAGTTCATTAAACTGCTCAGAAAGTTCTCCCAAACTGGTGCGAACTGGCTGAATCCCAGCACTGGTTCTGATTCAATTTTGATAGACAAATTAGGACCTAAGCAATTAACACAGCATGAAAAGTCGAATTATACAGGCCGTGTAAATTAGTTCAGCCTATAAATTCCTCCAAGATGCCCAAACACTGTTATGTACAGGTAGTCCTTGACTTACAACAGTTCATTTAGTGACCATTCAAAGTTACAGTATCGCTGAAAAAAGGACTTATGACCATTTTTCACACTTACAACCTTCGTAGCATCCCTATGGGCAAGGGATTTACGTTCGGATGCTTGACAACTGACTCACATTTATGACCGTTGCAGTGTCCAGGAATCACAGTGAACTTATGACTAGCAAAGTCCACGGGGAAGCTGGATTTGCTTAACAAACATGTTACTAATTGTTCAACTGCAGTGATTGATTCAACAAATGTGGCAAGTAAAGTCATAAAATGAGGATGATGACACTCCTTTAACAAATTTATCACGTAACGACATAACTTTCAGGCTCAATTGCGGTCATAAGTTGAGGACTACCTGTATATATTTATATATAAGTGTTTTGTATCAAACACTGTTATATCATCCTTTCACCCTGCTGGAAAACAAAACAAAATAGTAATAATAATAATTTGAGTCCCTCATCTGACTTACAACTGGGTTTTTTTTCTTTACTTGAATGACAGGGATGGAGAGAAGAAGAAGGAGAAAGCCAAGTCAATTCCTTGAATGTTTTTTTCCGTACTTATTCAAAACTTCCAGAATGCAAAAAAAAAACAAACCAACAACCCCAAAGCACCTAAGACAGAACATGTAGATCTTGGTTTTATTCAATTCTGGTGAATGCAAATTATCAAAATCAAGGGTTAGGCTGCTGGAGGCTCACAGGGGCTTGGGAGACCCCTAGCTAAGACTCTGCAGGGCTCAGAGAGCCCCCAATAACCTCAGAAAGACAAGCAGCCAGGGAAAGTTCTTAATAGGCTTAACTGAACTTCTGGGCATTCAGCCAAGAGCATTTCACACCTCGTAAAAGTGTTGCAAGCTAGATAAACAATCCACTCAGCCCTTGTGAGGGAGAACCATTGAGAAAATCTGATAACATAGCCAATAGCCTCCGAGGGGGTTAATTCCCAAATAATAAGAATCATGTAACTCACCAGAAACTCCACCAAGACTCCAAGATCCCTCTCACAATCATTGCTGTTAAGCCAGGTTTCACCCAGTCTTTTATTTAAGTATTAAATGCATGAATTAATAAGCAACTTTTGGGTATATACAGTATCTTTTTTTAGGTAGTTAGGGCAAAGAGTTGGCCACACCCACCCAGTCACATGACTGCCCAGTGACACCCGCCCAGCCAGTCATTAGGGCAGAGAGCCCCTTGCTAAAAAAAATTTGAACCCCACCCCTGCCCAATTCACCCTCAAAGTCCTTAATTGCTCATCTAAATAGTTTTCACTTCATGGTTTTTCAAGTTTGACCTGATTTTACTTGTAGAAGGGAACGTGACATAAAAGGTTGGGAAGGAGGTAGTTGACTTTTCATACCTTGCATCAATATCTATCAGTTTTTCTAATCTAACATGACACAGAGAGAAAGCTGTGATACTTTAAAGGAACAGAGATCCTTTATACTACTTCAAAAGCAAGCTGTTGCTTTCAGAGAGATACAAAGCAAACCCTTTTTCCTTTTCAGCTCAGGTTGCCTTTTCCGCAATTTTCTTTATTCCCAGAAATGTGACGGGCTTTACCGCTAAGTAAACATGTCGAGATTTGCCGAATTAAATGGCAAGAAAGTCCTCAAAATAAACTGGATGCAAACGAACGCATTAAAAAGTCCCAAACTGAACAAACAAGCTCAATGTGTACAGACATGAGAAGGACCTATCTGGATGTTGCATGATGGTTTCAGTGGTTGTTGTGGTTAGCCGGCAGCAGGTGTGGATGGCTGAGGGCTCAGATGAGGGGCCAAGACCGTTAGGGAGTGGACTGCTGCCTTCAGCGATCGTGGGGGCTGGCAGCAGTGATGAAGAGGTTCCCGAGGAGCCTGTGCCAAGTCTACGTGTGTGCAGGATTGCTTGCAGGAAAGAGCAGCTGCAACAGCACAGGCGGCTCGGGAGTAAGGCTGCATGGTAATGGCCCCTTCTTCAAGAAGATAAAAGCCAGCTGTGAAACGAATGTACTTTGCAGAAGGCAAAGACGTTTTGAAACTCCAGCCTCGTGGACATTCCAGTATATTAAGCTGGTATTTAAAGACTCTTCTGTTGTAAAATATTTTTTATCTGTTGTTTTTGGCAGCCTTGCAAAAACTTGGCAAGGCTCTTTCTTGTCGGAGCTAATTAGTTGGAAGCAGCCTTTTATCTGTGAAGAAACAGGATTCATAGATGAAACATTAAAAGGTTGTGCTGCTGCCTTTGTCTGGTGTTTGCTCTCTTGGAACCAGGTTTGGGTCAGAACAGTGGTAGTATGCTACCGGTTTGGACCGGTTCACCTGAACTGGTAGTAAAAAAAAAAAGCCAACGATCATCTGAGGAGGAAAAAAAATCCTCCGACAATCATCTGAGAGGAAAAAGAAGGGAAAAGCGCAGGATCGTCTCTCTCACCCACCCCTGTGCCGTTTTCATCTTTATCCCCTCAGCGGATTGGCACGGCAGGTCTCAGCTGGTGTGGGTAAAGCTGCGCACCGGTGTTAGGCAAAGCACACCCACCAAGCCATGCCCACCAAGCCACACCCACTGAACCGGTGGTAAAACAATTTGAATCCCACCACTGGATGGTTTGGTTATTTGTACCATGTTTTTACAACGTTGTGGTCAGGATTAGAGTACCGAGGTTGGCGGTGCATTTTGGAATTCTTTGCAACTTTTCCCAAGATTAAAAAAGAGGTGCTTATTATGCACAGTAGAGTTTAGGTTGTAGGGTAACCTGGAAAGAGATTGTTAGGAAACGTCACATCCTTAATTTTAAGTTTTCAATTTTTGCTTTTGTAAACTGAGATAGGAAGAACTCCAGGTACCAAGAAAGGAGAATATTTGTATGTCAGGGTTGACATGAGGGGTCCAGGGTGCTCTCTGAGCTTGGTTGTTTTCTTGCAGATGTTTGATTATCCAACTACGTAACCTAATCAGAACTAGAAGGAGAGGGGTTTATGGAAAGGAGGAGGAGGAGGAGGAGGAGGAAGAGGAGGAGGAGGAGGAGGAGGTCGACTGTGCGGTCCTTGCTGCACTCTGAGCTTGGTTGTTTTCTTGCAGACATTTCATTATCCAAACTAGGCCATCAGTATTAGAAGTGGCTATGGGTGAAATTGAAATTGACTTTGACTTTATTGCATCTTTAATACTAAGACAGATGCCTACAACGCCACTATGAAACAAGATGAAACTTTGCCAAGTTTTCATGGTGCATTTCCTTCCCCCCACCCCCCAAAAAAGAGAGAGAATAGAAGAAAAGAGAAGAGAAGGAAAGATGGGGAGGAGAAAGGTGGAAGGAGAATGGAAGAAGGAAGAAAGGGAAGAGAAAGGATTAACCAAGCTAGTTTCATGAAAGCAGACTCAAATCCTTGTTCTGGAAGGATTTGAACCCAGTTTGAACTTCTGGTTAATCATCCCCATCTCCTTTTAACAGCCCCACAATCCCTTGTGGGGTGGAGTCTGTGCAACTGAAT